CGCTACCCCGTCACCCTGGCAGCCCAGGCCGTCTGCGCCGTGGCCCAGGTCTTCATCCTGGGGCTGCCCTCACGCATTGCCTCCGTCTGGTTCGGCCCCACCGAGGTCTCCACCGCCTGCGCTGTGGCCGTGCTGGGCAACCAGGTAGGGTGGAGGTGGGCAAGGGGAGGGTTTGGAGAAGTGGGCTTTCTTAGAGCTTGGTGTGGCATTGATTTAAAAATAAGCCGGTTAAGTGGGAAAAAACATTCTCTGAGAAATGGTTACGGGGCAGCATTGGAGAGAGGAGGAGCGATGGAGCAGGGGCGAGCGTGGAGGTGATGGAGCAGGGGCGAGCGTGGAGGTGATGGTACGTCCCACCCTCCTCGACCAGCCTTGCTTTGCAGGACCCTGGCCGTGTGGCAGTGTGTAGCAGCTTGCATGCTTCTGTCAGTACAGATGCCTGGAGCACATCAGTTGAGGCCCTTTTCAGAAGTCATCCTGCTCTGCTTTCTCTTCCTCTTGCATTCAGCATCTTGTCTCATGCGTTTGGCATCATTCATTTATTTGACTGAATCTAACTGAATCTACCCACAGCTGGAGGGAGGTGAAGCGTGTGAGCTTTCACGGAGAGCCCCAGTGCCAACATATATTAACTCCTGCTTTTTAAAAGACGGCCTTGAATCACTAAGTGCCAGTAGTCAGTGCCCTGGTGACGCATGAAGTTTTCTCTAACTCTGTGATAGTTCAGGCCACTCTGGAGAGCTCATAACTGGGTCATGGATTTCCTTGAGCTCCCTGGTCCTGGACAGTTTTAGAGAGCTGGAATAGCTCGGGTGAAAGCACAGGTGAAAATATGATACTGATGTGTTTTTTTTCTCCTCACATAGCCTTGTTCTCGCCCCCTGCCACAGGCCCTGCTTTTTTGTGGCAACAAAACATTAAGATTCCAATCAACATCACTGGTGCAGGCTGAGGTCGTAGGTACAGTTTGATTAAGGTAACAGGGCATTCGCTTTTCCTCATGTGAGTCTAATGATTTTATGTTTGTGCACTTTGGATTATTACAGCAGTAATATTAGCGTTACATATTTACAGTTAGGGTTGCTCATTAGCTCATACCTGGCTGTTTACAGTTTTCCCAGTGATTTTCCAAAGTGATATTTTTTTGGTGTTGAAGTGTTCCAGTGGACAAGTCAACTGTCCCTTTTGGACTGAAGACTTCGAGGTTTGTTGGCTGGTTGTTTTAGCAGTTGAGCAAAAATTTTGCATCTGCGTCCCATAATCAGGTTAAAGGTTTCCTTGGCAGCTAAATTTCCACTCTTCCTGACATGCACCAGTCCTCCCAGTAGCAAGGAGCTATTGATGGTTCAGTTCTGCAGTACAGTGCCAAGGATCCAACTTGGAGTCTGAAACTGGTGCTTCACTCGGATGCTGAGATGTGGGAGTTGAAGTGGTGCAGGACGAGAGTGGGAGCACAGGGATTGTGCGGATAGGAACCACAAGAAAGATGGACAAGGAAAATGGTAGCAGAGGTGTGAACAAAATAAACCTTAGTTATTTCTGGAGTGTGTTCCCCTCCAGAAGCTAGGACTTGTCTTAGTGTGCCGATAAAATGGTCCTCTGCCAGGAAAACACCTGTGAAACTCACTGACAAAGCGTGTTTCATCATCTTCTGTCAGTTCTGCGCAAAGGTTAATGGCTTATTCTGCAGCTGTGCCATACCCAGCTAGCTCAGAGCTGTGTGCTACATAGGTCTTGAGATCCCAGTCCGGCTTGTGACCCTTGAAGACTGATATGATGTTGAACAATAGAACTCCTCTGTTCTCAGTTTTTGTTTTCTTAAAAAAAAAAAAAACCTCTCAAAAGCTAGATTGAAAGGGTAGTGAAATGACGAATTGGGCACTTGGAAGTGAGAACTGTTGTCTGTATGTCTCAATGTGGTTTGCTTCTGCATACGCATTGCGATACAGCCTCACTGTACTTGTTTAATTGCACAAGGCGAACTGTGCGGCAGAATCGGGTTGCTGTAACCAGCTGGGCTGTTGGGCTTATCAGGTACTTTGCATAGCTTCAGAGCAAAGCAAACAGGGCTGGGACAGCAGGCAGGGGAGAGACAGAGTAGTTATCAAAAATCAGATTGCTCCCATTATCTCTTGAGATGCTGATTGTTTGCAGTTGAAACACAAATCACTGGGAACCTAGCGATGTACCTGTCAAGGCTTGTTAGGAGTGCCAGATTTCCACAAGTATTTAGCATCTTAAACTGGGCACACCAGACTTGGAGCTCTTGATCCTTCTGGCCTTGACCTCTCTCGATGTAAAAGGTGAAAAACGGTGTCACTTGACTTCCTTGGAATATTGTAGGTACTGTATTGGCTCACATTGGAGGAGGAAAAAACATGCCTTAAGAAAAAGAGTAATTGTGTGCTCGGTTCATGTTTGTAGCGTTCATATACTGAAGGATGAGGAGAAAAAGAAACAAATTCTTCAGGTGAGCAGTGGATACTGTGTAAATCTGATGGTCTGTGGGAAAAAAAAAAACAGCAAAACCCTCATTGAGCATGTGCACAAAGGGCGCTTTGTAAGCACATTGGCACACCTTTAGTTTGAGTACTTTCTGAGTGTTGGACTTGCTATTCTAACAGTCTTTGGTACTCTTTTTTATTTATTTATTTATTTTTGCCTGAAATAGATGCAGGGGTTTTGAGTTAAAAAAAAAAAAAAAAGAGCGTTCTAACACTTTAAAACACAATTTAGTTTTGGAGGAGCAGCAGAGATAAATTGTAGTTGAAGACTGTTGTTGCCCCATGTTTTAAAATGCTTTATATATATCCCCAACATTTCAGTCCTTGGTTTTTGTCTCTTTTTTAATACAAAATCAGTTGCTATGTTGGAATTGACTCCAGATACAAACCCACTACTACTTTATTTTGTGATTTTTTTTTTTTTTCTTTAATTCCTTAGCAATAATTGGAGATGTAGGTTTCGATTTTGTGTGTCTTAATAAGGGTGCTCCTATTCTCTTGCTTTTCTCTGCTCTATCACTTCTGCAGTAAACCTTGCATGTCAATCTTTGTTATATAGTGGCAGGATCGTGCCATCAAGTGGAGTGTTTTGATTGAGAAAAAGCAAAGAGCTTTTCTGACAGAGTAGCTGGAGTCTTCTGTCATCTCTAGGCCTTCAGTTGCAGGAGGACTGATGCAAATTTTCGTGCAGGCACAGTATTTTCCTGTGAAAGGTTCTTCTGCAAAAAAACTTCCTTAATGCTTGGTAGTTAAATGTGCTGTATACAAGGTGTAGTATTGTAGTTTCATTTAGAAATGAAAAGGTTAAAACCTGAGTTATGGAAAACCTGATTGTGAAATGTCATTGAGAACAAATGGCTCGGAAGTGTGATACTAAAGGAACACTTTTCCTTCATAGATTTATTAATACTTATTATGATATAAATTCTGAATTCTACCTGGTAAGGCTTTTCACTTTTGTTAATTTTTATGTTCATGGGAAAATGATTTTGGGTTTTCTTTTCTCGCTTTACAGCTTGGCACTGCAATTGGCTTTTTGTTGCCACCTGTTCTGGTTCCAAATACACCTAATGATATCGATCTAATGGCACATAACATCAGCATCATGTTCTACGGAACAGCCATAGTGTCCACAATTTTGTTCTTCTTAACAGGAGTTGGTAAGTGTTCTGTTCTTGTGATTTAAATGGTGGCCATAGGGAGCGTTGACAACATCTCACTTAAACCATCTGACTTTGCTCAAAGTAGTTGAGGTTATATTTTCTCCAGTTTACGTGTGTTCACTTACCTGGGTGAGCCAGGTTTAAGTGACAACCAGTTTACTGTATGTCGTGCTTCACACGGGCTGACCTCTCTCAGAATGTTTAGTTCACTTAGGCTTTTTGCTACAAGGACATCATGATATAATGTGAACTCTCTCTGTTAATCTTACAATTCGGGTACAAAGGTCTAAACACATTGCAGATTAAGTCTGTCTTTGACCATATGTTGGTAGCAATCGGATGTGACCAAATAATTAGCACATCCTGTGTGGCTGTGGTTTGATTCTTCCATGAGAAAATCTAGAATATTTTTTTCATGGAAGTCTTAAAAACCGCAAGTTAATCTTCTGAAATTCATCAAACTGAAACACTTCAAAAACTGAAAGCATTAGTTGAGTAAAGACAAATCAAAATTGTTCCTTCTCTTTTCCCCAGTGTTTGAAGAAAAGCCCAAATACCCTCCTAGTTATTCTCAAGCAGTTCTGCAAACTACACCTCCCGAGGATTACTCCTACAAGCAGTCGATTATTAACTTGTTCAAAAATATTCCATTTGTACTTTTGCTGATCAGTTATGGTAAGTGGTGCTGTCTGGCTGTAGTTTGGTGGAACGGTTCAAACGTGTGCCGAAAGCACATCAAATTTTAGTTGTGGTGGTGTTTTTTTACGGGGAAGGGATTGTCAAACTTTCACTTACTCAGCAGCCAGTGCTGGAAAATCAGGCAGGATTCAAAATACCATTTGTAGGTCTGGTGAAGAGATTTTTAACTGGCAGATGAAAGGTTTTGCCTCTGATATGAGTCTTAAATATCAGAAGATAAACTCTTTAGGGTAGCAGATCTGCATGGCTACACCTGGAATGACTGAAGCTTTACTTTTGGTACTGCAGGTATTATGACTGGGGCGTTTTATTCTGTCTCCACGTTATTAAACCAGATGATAGTAACTCATTATGAGGTAAGTTTCATGGATCTTCCTTGTATCTTTTTTTTTTTTTTTTTACTGTACATTTGCAGAGGTGATGTTTATTACTATTATGTAGGTGCTATGTGTGCTCAGACATTTGGTTTCCTTTATACCCTGCTACAGTTTCTTACACCGTACAGCTATGGGAGTCATAGGAATGTTTGTTTGCACTTATGACTGCCGAGAGGTCTGAACTTGACTCTGAGTGGAAGCAAGTTATTAATGAGCACCATATAAATATTTGTTGAAAGGGAGAAGAAGTGAACGCTGGGAGAATTGGCTTGACACTGGTGGTGGCAGGAATGGTGGGTTCGATTATTTGTGGTTTGTGGCTGGATTACACTAAAACATACAAGTAAGTGTGGGTAGGCATGTATGGGGTTAGGGGTAGGAGAGCGGTGCAGTTACTAGCTAGAAAAATACTGCAACGTAAGGGCTGAAGTGAACTGGTGATAAAATGCGGTTCATCCCTGATCTTTTAGTGGCCTTGATGGAGACTAGTTTCTGAGGCTACAGCAAAAGCCTGAGACCCATACTGGTTCTTGGCCAAAAGAAGTGAGAGGAGAATGCAAAGATGCAGAGGGGTTTTCTGTCTGCTCCTGTCTCTTCAGGAGTGCAAGGCTAACAAGGAAGACACTGTATGTCCTACCTACAGTGGCCATGTGGCCCAGTGGGCTACTTCTCCTAGGAAAACGTAAAGACTTGAAACCTACTCTGCGTTGTTTTGTAAAATGGACAGTTGATGGAGTCTTTTTTTTTTTTTTTTTTTTTTTTTCCATACTACTCCTGGTCCTATTAGTAAGCATAACATTTGCTTTAATTCGGGGGATGACCATGGAGCGGAACTTTGTTCTGGGGTGGGAACTCCCAGGTCCATCACCCATGGTGTGGTGCCCCCCAGGAGCAAGCAGTTGCCTGGAGCGTTGCTTGTGGTGGAGTAGTTCCCCCCTGTGACTCTTAGTACATTATGTGCAAGAGCTCTAGACACCTAATGGATGTTAATGCTGTAGGTTGGCTTTGTTTCTGCATGTGTTTTGGTTTATAAATAAGTGATATGTGCTTTAATATTTTGGATGACATCCCTTATTCCAGACTTGAAATAAATAGAACATTGTAATGAGATTTGTTTGACTTGCCTCTTAGACTGACTTTTATTGCTAATAGGGTTCGATTTGGCTGCCCATGTATTGATGTATTGTATAATGAGCAGCGCTGCAGAATGGTTGAGAGGTACAACATAGCGCAGAACTAAAATAGTCTTAAGGTAATAGTATCTGCTGTGATTGTCCACTCTTTGAGAGTGTGAGGAAGTCTCTTTAGCCTCAAGTGAAGCAGCTGTATAACCAAGGCAATAATGGGTTTGGGAAGGGATACGTTCTCATTGCATGATATGTTTGAGTCAGAATTATATGAAGCAAATTTTATAGTTGTAGAATGTGAGTTGTTAGAGAGTAAGTGACGTTACTCTTCTGTGCTTTAGCAAAGTGCTATGACCTTATGTTAACTATGTTAATTTTTTTTTGTTGTTGTTGGGTTGCAGGCAAACTACTTTGATTGTTTACATTCTGTCTTTCATTGGGTTGCTGGTATTTACTTTCACCCTGGACCTCGGATACCTTATAGTAGTGTTCGTGACTGGAGGAGTACTTGGGTGAGCAATTAAAGAGGGCTAGAAGACTTACTGCAGATTCTACTGTATATTCTGTTACCAGGCTCTCAACCTATGCCTATAGCTCACATATAGAGTTTACTAGGGTTTCACCTTCTCTTACATCAGAATAAATCTGAAGTGACTCACTTTTCAGTGAATTTCATTTAACATTTTTATGGACATAACAGAAGTCTGTATGTGGTCAGTTTCTCTGGTTCCAATTCAAAAAGCTGTCTGCAGTAAAGCTGAATCTTTCTGTTGACCAGTGAATAAGTGATTAGAGTTTAACTGGGAAAGTCCAGGAAGACTGGCTTCTGTGCGTTTTGATTAATCTATATTTTGATAGCCCAAGCAACATGCTGGGTGCTTTGTTTGCTCAGAAGAGCATGAGCACTTCTCATAGATACATAATCTAGAAGCCCCGAAAGGTGCTGAGGGAATAGTGCTGTATCCAGACGTGGCAGTCAAGGTAGAGCCAGAAATATCTTGAGAGTTTCAGTTTAAAAACCAATTAACGAACCTCGACTCTGTTAAGCCCCTGCTCCTCCTGTCACCCGTTGATCCCCTCGTCTTCCACAGGAGCTTCTAGCAGTCATTCCAGTGTCCAGCCTCCCTCCCCACTGATGGTCTCTTTTTGTCCTTCGGCGTACATGTCTGGGCTGATCAAATAATGATTGTGCATGTCTTTCATTTGAAAGTAGTTGGCTTCAATTATGGAGTGGCTTGTGGACTGGTCAGAGAAGGTTGTTTCATATGTATGGAGTGGAGTGCAGGTGGTTATGGGAAACAGGACAAATAAGTTAAAACGTCCTTGTCCTAAAAAGAGAGCTGTATGACTAAAATTGTTGAGTGAGGTTGAGGGAATCGGGCAGGCAAAGCAAGTATTGAAAAGTGTTAGGTCTTGAAAACAGACAGTTCAGAATACCAGCTAATCCATACTACCATGTGTTTGTGTTTGATTTTCTTAGCTGTAGTAATAGATGAAGGCCTCACCTGTCATCCTCTTACTCTCCTCTTCAACAGGTTCTTCATGACTGGCTATCTCCCACTTGGGTTTGAATTTGCTGTGGAAATTACATACCCAGAGTCTGAAGGCACTTCCTCAGGTCTCCTTAATGCATCAGCACAGGTTATATAATTTTATTGCTTATAGTGAAGTAATGTTCAGGAAGGCCACTCTGCTCGAATCTAAGAAGGCTTTCTTAAACTTGGCTGCTAAGTCTCTGTGTGGCTGTCGCCTTAATTTTTTTAATTTGATTTCCGTAAGATGTGACCTGAAACTTTGCAAGGTAAAGTGATGACTGTTTCCTGTGTGATCCTGGTGAAGTGACTTGTTTGTTTATAGATATTTGGAATTGTCTTTACACTTGTTCAAGGAAAACTCACCACAGACTACAGTCCTCGTGCAGGAAACCTCTTTCTTTGTGCTTGGATTTTTGTGGGCATTATCTTAACAGGTAATTAATCAGAAATGTAAGTAATGATTTCTCTTTAGTGTGAAAATGTGGAGGATTTTTTGAGATAGTGAATTTCTGGGTAGTTTTTTTAGATGTCTCGAACAGCTAGGATTTAAATATGTGGCTTTCTGTCTGGGCTGACAAGTTATAAGTGCAGAGTTTGGGGTTGGTTTGGGGTTTTTTTGCTTTGTTTTTCACTTTAAATACTTGCTGTGTGCACACCCTTTGTTTTAAGGAAGATGTTGCTAATATATGGACAGCCATCTGTCACTCATTTCTTGAGTCATATCTTGAATTTGACGCAGATGTCTGTTTCCAGAGTAGGATAGTAAAAGTAAGCAAATACATAAATGGAGGCAGTTTGCAGTTTTCCAAATGCAAGAAACTGCTGATGTATTCCTGAACTGTACCAGTGACTTCACATGCTGGTACTTACAAATGTGCTGAAAGTGCTAAAACCATCAAGCTTTGCTTTAAGTACTCATGGTTTAAAAGCTTTTATTGTCATTTTCTGTGTGTGCTTTCTGAGCAAATTTGTCAGTAAGTTCAAATCTCACAAGAGTGACTATGAGTATTTTGAATATGTGCTGAAAGCAGCTTTTGTGTGCTTGCACTGTACAAACATTTCCCTTGAAATGCATGTCCTTGCAAAGTTGTGAACCAGCTTTCTCTTTTTTTTTTTTTGTTTCAGCCTTAATAAAATCAGATTTGCGAAGACACAATGTGAATTCAGGGATTATGAATTTGGATGTTAAAGCTGTAAGTGGTGACTCTTGCCATCATTGTGTTACTGTACTTTAATTCTTGGCTTCTATTGGCATAATAATATTGATAGCAAAAGAGTAATGGACAGAAACTTACAACTGTTTCCATGCTGTTTTGGAATAAGAGCTACATGGGATGCTGCCATATCATATCATATGTCAGGTTCTCCCCTTAGCTCCCGTGAAGAAACTAAAAGACCTTCTGCTCTCAGATTTTCCTGAATTTTAAGTAGCTAATATTAATGTCTGATTTTATTGCTTGAATCTTGCTTTTTCATATTTGCAGGTAGCATTGTAAACTATGAAGCCTTTTCGAGTGTTGGGTTAGGAGGTTGTGCTGTAGACTACATATTTTATTTAGAATGCCTGCAGTCGCTTTAAGTGAAGTCAGTGTCTGGTGAACAGAAGCCATGCTGCAGTTTCTGTATTGCGGTGCATGAAGAGCCAGGTCTGTTGTTCTGCTGAGCACCCTCTCAATTTGAATGAAGAGAGCGCACAGCACTTCCCGCTGTTCAGGAGGTCCCGAGGCCATATCTCAGCAGCTTTTCCAAATTGTCACAGTTACTAGCAGAAATAAGGCTGTCATTGGAAACTTTTTTCAGTGCTGTGGGTTTTTTGATCATTTGGATCAAGATAATGAAACAGCTTTTTGGAGTCAGATGTTGCAAGATCCTCTGCCACACTTCTTTTTGTGCATAGATGTCTTGCATATGTAGCAGCTTTTGATCATCTGTGATGCACACTGTTAGTGTCTGCATAAGGTCAGAAACTTCCAAGCTGATGCTATAGGAGCTGACTTGAACCTGAAACCTGTGCAGCTGTGTGAGCACAGTGTGGCCTCCTGTGGGTTTAGCAGCCTGCGTCAGGGCTGGGGGGGGGTGTACCTGCTGACGATAGGCAGTGGTCTGTGACTTGTCTGTTTTCCGTTAGCACCTTGTTAATTAGCCTACATTGTTGCACAGCTTCATTTATATTAGCCAGGGTGTAACAAAAGTCTGGAGTCCTTGTCCTGGTATTACCGTAAGTAATTGAGAGCTGCCTGTGTTGATGAGATACAATAGTACTTTGATATCAAACCTTGATCATCAAGATTCTACCGTGTTTAAAGGTAATGGAGAAAAAACCTGAAAGGTAATCCACGTGATAAATATCTATATGCAGTACATATATACTTTAGAGTTATACTAAGAAACTCAATTCTGTGGGGGTTTTTTGTGGTTTTCTTCCATTACAGAGGGAAGCAAGAACAGGGCTTTCTATAAATGCCTAATTTGGCTAATTACCTACATATACTGTTGGGAGTCTAGCCTAATTTGTGCTTTTTTTTTTCCCCCCCCCTCTCCAGGTACCAGTTGACAGTCCTGTAGAACCTGAAAGTACTACCTTAAAAATTCAGTCGGCTTTATAAAGCTGAAAGAAGGTGACTTAGAAATGCACAAGTTTGGTTGGATACTGAACAATATTAATTAGTGTAATCACTGGATTTGTGTGTATAAGTAGTAAAATGTGTTTGGTGATACTGGTGATAGTTGTGCAGTGGAAGCTATGAAGACCTCGGTTCATTTTGCCCAAGACGCAAACAATTCACCTCTGTATGGCATATTTGTTTTAACAGTTTTAATGTTTTGCCGTTTCATTAGTAAAGAACTGTGTGGATACTCTCCACGCTAGAGAGACATGTACCTTCAGGATGCATACTTGAAAAAATCTGGAATCCTGAAGTACAGTTGTCATGACCAGAAGTATCTAATCTTTTCTCATTCAGTCTTTGCTAGCGCATTTGAAAAGTCAGAGAGTAGGTAGCTGCACAGCTGGAGGATGTTCACAAGTTCCTTTTTTTTAAAATGTATTTGTATTTTTAATATAAGCCAACGGTTCCTTCTGGGAAACGGTCTATAGCACAATACTGAAAACAAGAGATGACTGCAAATGTGTGTGTTTCATACTGGCATCTGACATGTCATTTGCCTTGAAACTTCTTGATAGATATCAGAAGGCAGATAAGAGAAAACACTGTCATATAAATTCATTGTAACATTTCTGGGGAGATTTAAAGAGTTTCCCACTAAATAAATCGAAGAAAAAACATTTGTTATTTGCTACAGTAAAAACAAGAGAAAGGCCTTTGATATCTGTACCGTGAAGTATTTATAGGCAATGGAACACTATCACACAGGTTGCCTCCACGGAATATTTTGGGTGCTTTCTCAGTTAAAGTGAGAGGAGTACGTGTTTACAAAGAGCTGGTGCCTTTACTTTGTAAAGAAGATCCCTGCCTCATCTTGAGTTTAATCAGTGCTGCTGAAGAAATTCTATTTTGTGTGTTAAAGCTCCTCTGAATATTTGTGGACTATCAGAAAATGTGTTCTATCCTTTTTTGCATTTATTTCTCTGCATTATGAGTTGTATCATTTGTCTTGTGAAATTTTTGTGCTTGTATGACTTAAATCATGTCTTTTGCAGTTTGTTAAAAGCTGTAAGGATGACTGAAAGGAAAATAGTGATGTTTCATTTTGTCTGATGAAATATTTGGTGTTTATATCATGCATCTTAGCTACAGAAGGAGCAGGCTTCATTAACGTTCACCTTGTGTTACTACATTTTTCTGAATTTGGAATGTGGATTTCTCACGGCAGTGCTTCTGAAAATATTCTCCTTTACCTAGTGCTCTAACTACACACTTACGGAATCGACACCACTACAATAAACTGAGGCCCTACTATTACTAAAAAAGTCAGACGTGAGTTAGCAGGCTTTTTGCAAACATTTAAGCTTTAGCAGACTTTAAGCTGAGCCGGCAGGTTCAGTACCATCAATGCTGCCATCTCTTTGAGTTCCCACAGATGTAGTGCTATCCAGGAGGTGGAATCCTACTTGAAGTTTTCCACAGATTGTTACAGTTGGATGTGGGGAACTTTTTCACTCCAAGATAGTCTTTCAGTATGATAAGTATTGTTAAATGCTTTTCTTTTTCTTATTTTACTGTAGATTTAGAGAATTCCTTTTATATAAAAAGGACCCTGTAAACTTGACTTTCTAAACTTAGCCTCCAAACTTGATGATCTTGATTTAACATTTTGTATGATAAATGCTTCAGACATGGGAAGACTGAATGGCGATACACATATTGGAATAAGCGAAGCATGGTGGGAATACTCTCCTTTCCAAAAAGGGTCCATGTCTCTTTGCCAGGTGCTGTGCTAGAGACAAAATGGGCACACCTTGCTGCTCCTGGGGAGGCGAGCTCTATGAGAAGAGTCTTCTGATGAGGTAGCTGAATCTAGGAAAAGTAACTCACAGATATTCAAACGGCAGGCAACAGTGTAGGAGTGGATGTAGAGATGCTTTCATTATGCCAGCTCTTTACATTTAATGACTTGCTGTGATGTAAGCTGCCCCATCAAGGGATGCACATGTTTTCAGCCCGAGTGAGGAAAGTGAAAATTCCTGCCTTTTTATATCTGTGGGTGGCTTTTCCCTTTGGAAAAATGATGATAATGTGTTCCAAAATATAGATGTTCTTCAGCAAGATACAGACTCATTAAATATTTGTGTTCATGGCCTGTGGTTGTGTTGTACTTCTGCTGTTACAAAATCTTAACAAGATAATATTTTTCCAATTTTGGGGAGTTGTTTTCAGATGTCCAATACAAAGTCTTTGGCAGTATCCAGAATGCTTTCTGAGATGTCCAGTACACACTGTTCACATTCAAAGACTGAGCTTTTTTCTTTCTTTTTAAAATTTATTTTTTAATTCCTTTTGTTACTACTAGTTTCCAGTTTCTTTAGTTATGTTCAGCTGTTTATTGAAAAAATATTTAGCTGTTCTGGCTCCTTGTGTTTTTTATCTTCTGCCAAATTACTTGGCTACCCTCTGAAAAGGTCCAAACAAAATTTTGGCGTGCTGGAAACCCTGCTGGGTCCCTGAAAAGAAAATGTTCCTAATAATGAAGGCTTAATTACATCCTGGATTTAATACTCCCTCTATAAAAGGAGCTTGAAAGTTGGAAACCTGTGAGCTCTTTCCAGGCAATGATAAAGTATTTCAATAAAAGGCTCAGCAGCAAAATAAAGAGCAAATAAAGAACAAACCAGTATTTTATGCAATAAATTTACAATCTGTCTGTCAAGAAGCAGGTTTCTAGCTCATGGCAGAAATAAATTTGGGGTAGTTGGGGCTTTGGTTTTTTGCTTTTAATTTTTGTTTTTAAACTAACAATCCACCCAATCGAACATCCATCTGGAACTGGAAATAGGCTTTCTGACTCTCTTAGCAGTGAGATACTGGCTCAGCTGTCCAGTAAGAGCAGAGGTGGGGGCTAAAAATCGTAACTGCTTAAAGAGGTAACCGTTTAATGAATGGAATTACATGTCAACTATGAGAGGATGGAGTGGGAAACCAAGTGAAGAGAGGCATTCCAATCCCATGCATCAGCTTTTGCTTTTCACTATGCTTTTCTTCTAAGTGCTTCAAGAGAACTCTAGAAGATGCAAGAGAACTCATGTAATGGTGAGCGTAAGCAAGGGGGCTGCCCCCAAGTTCCCAGGGGCCCAGCAGGGTGTGCAGTTGGCTACAAGATTTGGGGATTAGCCTTTAAAATAGCACTGTATTTCCTTGTTTCTTCCAGACCATGTTAAACTTTTGCTCACTTCCGTGGGAGAGACCCAGAGAACATTGACCCATTTTTATTTAGGATTCCTAAAATGGACTTAAACCCCTAATTTCTGTTGGCTGGGTGTGAAAATACAAGACCTGTAAAGTGTAGTCTGGAATTGCTGCAATCAGGAGCTTGCTTCTTCAGCTTGGTAGAGAAGTTCTTCAGGGCATTTATTTTGTAGATGAGCGCTTGTCTTTAATAGCATCTCTTTCTGTTGCTGGGTGCTTATGCTTTACAAGCAAGAAAGAACAAGGGAAGAAGTGAGAAGAACACATATGAATCATTTTGGGTTAATAGGGCTTTCCTAACTTCATCCTCTTGGTCATCTCTTTTATCAAGACAGTCTGTTGTTTCAGAGACAATCACTGGAGTGTGTAATTAGAGCTGCCACCTCATGTTGCCTAATGAAAAAATGCTTTTTGAGAATTATTTGGACTATCATGTGTATCTACAACCAAGTGAAATTGGGTTAAGCTGTGAGTGTTTATTGCTTTCATTTTCCATTCTGTGAACTCATGAGTTTTCCTGTGTGAATGGGGACGTGTGACCTTTCCGGTTGCTGTATTTTAATACATGTATGTACCTACCACCATCTTAAGTGTTATAGGCTACTATTGATTCGTAGACCACAAGCCCATTGATTTCGCCACCACCGCCATTTGGCCTGATGTCTGTGAAGAGGGAGAAGTGATGTTAACACATGAACTAGAACAAATTAAGCAAAATATATTCCGAAGAGAAATGTATTTCCATGTAAGACCCATGTTATTTACTGCTCATGTCTTTGTTCTTCTCGTGAAGATAGCAAGTATTTTTGCTGTAGTATTTTGGGTTTGTTAGCGTCCCAATCTTTGTTTCAAGAGAAGATTAAAAATTCCTTATGAATATTCTCTGATTGCAATATTGTACGTATGTGTGTATGTGTGTGGCATAATTCATTACCATTATATGTTACTAATAAAGTGTATAACATGTAACTTGATTGGAGCCAAGATTACCATTTTTGACAGCTGCTGATTTTTTCCTTAGAAGCTGCTATTTAATGTAGGAAAATTTTATAAGTGAACGATACACAGTGTCATTAACAAACATGCATGAACACATATGCAGAGTGCATGTATGCAGTATATATAAACATTCTACACAAGAGTATTGGCTTACAGAGAAACTTTCTCAGGGCGTGGAATTAAAATATTAGCATCAGTAGTTGAGTTGCACTGCTCTAGCATAGTCCTTTCTCCTCTTTTGCTTTGGAAAATGTCTACGAGGAAAAGAAAGTGCAGTTACACCTAAAGCAGAACAATCCAAAGTCATCTCCTTAAGGGGAGGGCAAATACCTTATTAGAACACCCAGCTGTAGACTGCCAAGAGATTACCTGGGGAGAGTGGGTAGGATAACTTTTTAGAGAGGATAGATTGAGACATTGCATTCAGTTATGGCCCAACGTTTGTTTCTAAAACCAGAGCTGTCTTCAGTGGGAGCACAGTAGGACCATTGTGAACACTCCGCAAGGGTTCTGTCGCTTGTCTTCAGGTGCTTAGTGTTGATCCCCAGCACATCAGTGGTAAGCCAGGTAAGTGAGGAACCTACTTCGAAGAAAGCAGTCACTGTAAGAAAAAGTTTGTTGTTTTTTTGTCTCCCTTCTCCACAAAACTGGGATTACCTCAGCTACTTTTGTACACCAGATTCTTCACAGGAGGCTGCAGGTGCTGCAGAGCACAGGAAACAAGCCTTTTGTTGTGAAACTCT